TTTCATCAAACGACTTGAATTAGAGATTCTGAGAGTTGGTACCTCGAAAAGGAGAATTCCCATATATTACTTGGAGTTCCGTTGTGTGTGTGATGTTCTGTTGAGGGGGCAGTTCAGGCAGGTAAAGCCAACTATCAAAGGAAAAGGAGAATTCTGCTTTCCCCGTGTATGCCTTATCTGTCATAAACGTTAAGCTGGCGGGTTTTGAGTAAGCTAATGGCACTCTTTAACAACCCAATCACTTTATATAGCACCAAAAGGATGTTTTTGTACTGTTTGGGATGTGGTTGGTAACAAGAGCACACAGTGAGTTAATAAAGGTGGAAAGTAAATGTTTGAGCTCTACGAATTTTGGGGCTAAGAGAAGCAGCAGAATAAATTGCTTTGCCCCAGCACAGGTCGCCGCATGGAATTCAAGTGAAGGAGCTACCCTAGTTCAGTTGTCACATAATAAAAAGAAACACTTCTGGCTGGGTATGGAAGCAAAGAATGCTGGGTGGCAAGTTTAGAGATTTCTGTTTATGTCAATATCAAATTGCAGTGTGATATTTATTTCCTAATATCTGTTGTGGATTTAAAATCTTACCAAACTTCCTTTTGTTCTGCTTCAGTCAATGAATTGGGCGGTAGGGGATGTTTTGGAAATCTGACTTCTTCCTACTTAAGGAATCAGGACCATCCTCCAGGCAAGGCAGTAGCAAGGGCAGAGGAGAGGCTTGGTCCTGGAGGAGGGAGCAGGTCCTTAGTATTCTCGCCGTGGTCTCCCCATGCTCGCAGGGCTCTCTGCAAGAGCTCTTTTAAATTTGCTCCTCAGAGAGGTGGAAGTTGTGCAGCTGTTCTGAACAACTACACCACCAAACTTGCCTGGAGACTAATAAACAGAATGAAAAAAAAAGTTTTGATCTTACTAAATCTATTGCAAAAATAAATTACCTGTTCTTCTCTGTATCATCATCTTATTGTTGTGCATTGGAAGGTCTTGTGGACCACTTCCAAGTGTTTTGTTCAGCTGCTGCTGCCGCCCTGTCTCCTGTTCAGACACTTGATCCTGCAGTGGTAAATGCTTCCTATCAGATTCAAAGAAATAAAGCACCTTCTCTAAGCACTAATTAGCATTCTTTATTATTGCAGTTAATTAAGATGATAGTGTTTTTCTTAGCATTAATTCATAATTTATTATAAAGATTTACTTCTGTAACTTCTTAATAGCTGTCTTGCTTTCAGAAATTGTTTATATTTCCTAGAACCAAGTATTATACTTGTTTTCATTTCCAGTGAACCACTGGTAGAATCAGATAAAAGGTAATGTATTTCTCCACAAGTTCACGCCATGTTAAAGACTACTCTGCTTTCAAGCAGTTTTATAATTTTGACATGCCTAGTGCATTCTTAGCAGAATGAAATGATTATATGCAAGCAGTTTTAAGTAACTAAACCTAAATTAATAATAATAATAAAGTTTATTGCTTGTAAATGTAGGAACAGAGCTCAAAAGAGATCATCACTGCAAGAGCCACAGATCCATTTCAGGACTGAGTATCAAGGTCTACCTAAGATGCTGTGCTGTATATAATTACTTCTATTAGTGCATTAAAAATGATGTACTTTTTCAGCTTTTGTAGCAGTAGTCCTGAAGATGCTACTATGCACATGTTGCTGTAGTTCTTTTTGTCAGTGATTTAAAAAATATAGGTTCACTTATTTGCAATTTTTCTTTGGTTGACATGCAGTATATTGTGAGGATAAATATCTGGAATTGCTGGACCAGCTTTTGATAAAAGTGATTTTGAGTGCAGCTAGCAAACGCTGCGTGTAGAAAGCCACCACTGAGGACTCTGTGCTAACAAGAGGCAATGGCAGCTCTGGGAAGCCCTGAGTGGTCTCTGGACTCTGGGATTCTGGCTCAGAAAGAAGCTGCTCTCACCTGGGGGCAAAGACAACGGCTGCTTCTGAGCATGAAAATGGGTGAATCTCTATATACTGCTGGCCAAGACCTTTTTTTTTGGTACGTTTCCCCCATAGCGACTCTGCAATTGCTCTCAAAGATCAAATCAGCCATCCAGTAGGAGGCTGTGATTCCTGCTTACACCATAGCTAATGCAATGGCATGAACAGAAGCAGAGCTAGTGGTGATAAGCTGTGTTGCATTGAGCAATATTTTTTTTGAGAAGTTTTTCAGTATTATCTTGTCTCTGGAGCTGAAGTGTATCCTCCCATTAAGTCTTTAGCATTAAAAGTCAAATTTATAACAAAGCTTTGAGTGTTTAGAGTGCTGTAATCAATCCCTTCTGCAGGGCAAAATGTGATACTTTAAAAGTAGTCTTACTAGGATGTATAAGAGAAACTGAAACTGTGTCCAGTATGTCTAGTTTGTTCATTTTGACTTTTCATTGTGATTTTGGAGAACCTCTTGCTGTTTAGCATTTCTAATTTTCACCCTCCAATTTTGTTTAAAATTAGCTGTTATATAATCTGCTATTGATGACATAACATTCACTCTCCCTTCAGGACTCCTACCTCCTGCACAAACTTCAGGTTCTTCATCTTTAAAAGTTTATGCAAGTCTTGTCTCTTATGTCAGCTCTTTTCTCCTACATACTAATCTCTTTTTACCCCTTAAAATATTCTTCCTTCCACATTCAACGTTTTCCTCGCCTTTGTTTTCTCCACAGCATGGAACTCCTTTCTTAAATTGTTGTTAGTTTTGGTTAGTTACGTCGGTCTTTAGGACGTTGGTCTTTAGGACCAACGTAACTAGTGTTACCAGAGTAGGGTGTCACTGATGAGAGCAAGATCCCCTTGAAGATCCCCTTGAAGTCTGCATGACATTTTGTGCAGTAATAGAGAAATATTTGGTGGGGGCAAAGAAAACTACTGGCAAGGCAGAGTCATGGAGTGCCTGAGGAGGCAGGGGATCATCTCATCCAGCTCACTGTTTATGCAGGGTCACCTAGAGCCGACTGCCCATATATATTTTTTTTGTGTGTGTATGTGAAAAGAGGTTTTATATACCCCATACTATTTTTATTTCTAATTTCTGGTGTATTTAATACTGCCTTTTTATTTTTATTTCCTGGAAAGAGAACCCATGTGTTTATTTTTTTCCTCTCCTGTCTACAAAGAGGCTTCATTTACTTCTCTGTGAGAGGTTCCAGCAGAACACGCAGATGTTAGAACGGGCGCCCTGGTGCTGGTGAGAGGCCCTGGTGCGAACGCGCAGCCTGCCCTGCCGCTCGCAGAGACCCAGCGCTCGTGCCGGGTCCTGCAGAGCCCTCGGGACCTCGTCCCTGTCCTTGGTGGCGGTGTGGGAGCCCGGCGCTGGGGGAGGCGCCGCGGCTCCCTCGCTGTGGCGGGCGCCGCGCTCCGCGCCCCGGCGC